CAACCTAGTGTTTCTGTGATTCTGTGAAACCAGGACAAGTAGTTATCTTCCTGTCTTTCCTGCCCGACTTTACTGAGATGAGACACAGTAAAACTGCATTCATGGTACATACCTGAGTGTAAAACCACTTCCCTGATTTCTCCCTCAGATTCCGCTTCTGTTGCAACAGAGTATTCCCTGAAATTTGATGAGTCCATGACAGAGGATGAGATTGAAGAAAAGTCTTTTCGGTCTTTGCTGCCCTCTGAAAGTCATCGCAGAAATAACTTGGAGAAGAAACGGGGTAGTCGTGATGATTCTGATGAGGAACTCTCCCCAGAAAAAACAGCTCTGTCATCTATCAAGGTAGGTCAAGCAACCATAGTTAAGGTAAATTAATGGAACTGAGATGGTTAAGCTGATGAGCTTCAAGTGAGCTGTTCTTAGTTGTGTTTGCAAACTTTAGGGTTCTTTTCCTCCCTGTGGTTCTTTGAGCATCTCAAAATATAGAGTTGTAGAATCATGCTGTATGTCACTTGTACAAGTGCGACGACTTGACTTATGGAACAGTCCATCCAGGCATGTACCTGTTCTCTTTTGTCTTGGAGGAGTGACTTTTGAGGTAGGTTATAAAAGCCCAGTGGATTAATTCTTCCTACGATGGCTGCACACAGCTCGGAAGTACAAGAGGAGGATGCTTCATCTCTCTGGCCCAAGAGGGGACATCCCAAAACTGTCACACTGCCCAGGGCAGAAAAAGCTGATCTGTACAAAGCTCAGATAGGAAAACCAGCTTCCCTTCTTGCATCTGTCTTTGTGTGTGTGTATCTTTGTGTACACACAGAGTTTGTAATTGAAAAGAACTTGGAATTTCTGTGTTATCAAATCATGTCAAATTTTTCTTGCCTTCCAGGAGCTAAGCATGCCATTCTCAGGGGGGCAAGATAGTTTCTCTAAATTTACCATGGAGATGGTAAGACAGTACATGAAAGAAGAGGAGATGCGAGCAGCTCATCAGTCCTCACTGCTTCGGCTCCGGGAGAAGGCTCTGAAAGAGAAGACCAAGGCTGAATTAGCTTGGCTGGAACACCAGAAGAAGTAAGGCAGCTCTGAATATACATTGTTGCTGACAGACCGTTTTCTTGTACTTGAATTTTTTTTGTAAGATTTTGTTTCTGCCCCACCACTCCCTTACGAAGTGTCAATGGTTGAACTAGTCTTCTGACATCAGTAATCTATACAAATGTTACTGTTACTTGGAAAGAACAGAACCCAGTTTGTAAATGTGTTTTGATGTTTACATTGAATGTGGTTTGATAGAAGAGAATTAGATTGAAACAGTAGAACAGCAGATATCTTTTGTGAGTCAGAGAAGGTAGTTCCCAAGCATTACCCTACAAGTCTTAATTCAAGAATGTATAAAACTGTGAAACAGTTAGAACTTTATTTGCTTGATGTCTGAGGTTGTTCTAGTTGACTCAGGCCAAATTTTTTGAATCTGGATATGTGTTGTCGGTTATGATTTGTTTCCAACCTTTGGAATATGCTTTGTCCCGGAATGCCACCTGAAGTACCTGGTGAACTACTAAACATTGGTGGCCAGACTTTATCAATAATACTTTTCCATGATCATGCTCTGCATGGGAGTACCATTGTTCACCAGACATTTTCTTCCAACTGCTTGTCACTGTGGGTTTGATAAAGGGTTATGAGGTAGTGACCCAAGCGTCCTTTGTTTTGTCTTTCTCAAATGGCGATCAGCGCTACCCCTGCAGAACTTCTGCCCAGTCATGTGAGATCTATTATACTGGCCTTTTAACTGTGCCTGTCTTGGACTAAACAGTCCAAAATATTCTGCTGTAGAGAATGCCAATGATTAAGTACAGACTCATGCTCTTCTGCAGGTTAGAAAAAGTTTAAAACTAAGTTTTGACTAAGATAGCAAAAAAGGCAGAAAGAACAAGAAAAATTTTTTGGTTTTTGTGTTTTTTTACTTTAAAGAGTAACAGGCTCATTGTTATTCACTTTTTTCTTATTTAATCCTTTCTTCCAATCTGTTTGCAGGCATTTGCGAGACAAGGGAGAGGATGATAAGATGCCTCCTATTCGAAAAAGGCAGCGTGGTCTGCTGCTGAGATTACAGCAGGAAAAGGTAACTGATGCCCTCTAGGAAAATCCTGTTGAAACCCCTGTGTAGCCTTTAAATGTTTGAGACGCTGTAAAAGCTAAGAGTTGAGAAAACTCCATACCAGGCTTTTGGATAGGAAGCTAGCAGGATTTCTTATCAATAAGTTTTATTTGCATTGTGGTGGAATTTAACACATTGTTTAAAAGTGTCCTTCTGTATCAGTAATCTCACCGGTTGAGACTTAGATGTATTAATTAATCTTCTGTTCTTTGCTGCTGAAGTTCAGGCTAGTTACTTCATCATGTAATTTCAGTAATTTTTAAACCATAGCATGGACACTGTGGCAGCTTTAGAATGGGTTCTTGAGAGCTGTCTGTCACAGTTCTTACACTTATTCTTCTATACCTAAAAGGCAGAAATTAAGCGTCTGCAAGAGGCTAACAAGGCTGCTCGGAAGGAGAGGCAGTTGATCCTTAAACAGCAGGCAGAAATAGAACGAATCCGTCAGACTACAATGAAACTGCAGGAAAAACTAAAGTCTGCAGGAGAAAACAAGCTGGTAAGTGTCCAGTACAGAAGCTGGAGTCTTTCCCCTTTGGCTGTGCAGCTGGTGTTTGACTTCAGTGTTTACAGGTGTGGAAAGCTACTAGACTGGACCTATCGCTTGGAAGTTTTGTCTGCTGCAGATGGTCTCATCCTCTTTATCTCAGCAATTTTATGTTCAATTTCTTTAAAGTGTTGTTTAAGGAAATGGATTTGGAGGAGTTGTAAAACATTTTAACTGGGTAGTAGATGGTGTTTGTTAATTCTCAAGCTTAACTAATGACTTTAGGAATATTATTTTTTTGATGCTTAGATCTCTTAGGCTCTGATTTTTTTTTTTATTATTTGTCAGACCCCAAAGAACTAAATGTAAGTGCTAAACCCAAAACCTGCTACTTTGTGTGTGTGGGTTAGAGTCATTACACTAAGTTTCTTGCATCTGCTTCATGAGATAGCAAGATGAGATTTTGATAACTGTCTGCCTCCTTACAAAATTTTGAGGAGACACAAGTTTAATAATAGTAACATAGAAAGGATTGTTTCCCTGTTTAGGGGAACTGAGTTCTGGTGGGTTTTTTTTCTCTAGATACAGTTAGGGGAGAACTTAAACTATGGAGAAAAAGGGTGTCCTAAAAAAACTTTGTGTCAAATAAAAATGAAGTTGGAAAATAAAATTAAACCTGCAGGTGGACCGGCCTATCTGAAGTAGTATTTGATGTAATCTGGGGAGAAGTAAGGTAAATTAACACAGCTTTTAAAAAGATCGTAGAATAACTTTTCTTACGTTTAATGTTGCTTTTTTTAACACTTAATTGCAGGAACTTCACAGTGACGATGACATCAAGCAGAGCAATGGTTCTAGCCCACTTCCGACTGATGCAGAAACACGCAGCCCTTCCCCAATCTCAATCTCCAGCAGTGAGACTAGTAGCATTATGCAAAAACTTAAAAAAATGCGCAGCAGAATGGATGAAAAGTAATTAATTTTTTTTTTCTTATACAAAAGTTTACTATTTTAATAGAACGAGTTGGTTTGGCCACTATCTGCACTAAAAATGGCCATTAGAAAAATTGCAGAGGTATTGATATCACATACACTTTGATCTGAGTTGCCTGAAAAATAGCTGATTGGAAGCATTAATAGAACTATATTCATCATTGAATCTAGTATTTTAAAGACTATAATTCTTGCATGAATACTAAGATTCAGATATTGTTAGTTGGCAGGCTGTGTGGTCAAGGTTTTATTGTAGAAGATTGGTTTTAATGTTCTTTGTACTTGATAGAGTCGGTAAAAGCACATCAATTTTAGAGATTTTGATGTTTGTGCATACAAGGAACTTGGACAGGCTCCAGCTTGATGGTACATCTTGTCAGAGTTCCTCTTGCAATGAGACCTGAGGTCAAATGGTCAAAGTGGTGCCTGTATTTTGTATTTTCCCCTTTTATTTAGAGGGGAAAAAATACAGGGAGTGAGGCTCTGAAATTACAGTACCAATTTTTATATTGAATTGAAGCGTAAGTTATAACTAGCAACAGTCTGTTGCAAAAACTAGTAACTGAGCTTGAGATCTGGCTCACAGAAAGTCATTGAGCTTGTTGGGCACGTGATCTCTACCTTATTATCCAGCTGCTGAATTTCAATTCCAATTGCATTAGAAGCAGGTAGGGATGAATTCTGTAAGTATTTTCTTAATTAATGGAGGTGGTATATGTGTGACCGAGAAGACAGGCAGTTAATAAGACCTTTCTTTTGCTCCTCTGTGGTCCACAGGTTGGAAAAAATGTTGAAAACACTTGTTAGTCTTCAGATGAAATAATGAAGTATATGTGCAGTTCCTGGATATGAAAGCTAGGACTGAATAATGTTGATTTCACCTGTTAAATTGTTTTGAATCAAAAGTTCTTTCTGCATCTTCTCAGTGTAGCGATTACTTTGCCTGAACTAAACATCCCAAATGCTTCACCAGCACGTGCTCTTTAGTTTGAAGCCTTAAATTCTTACTTGAGACTAACCTATTAAAAACCTGGCCGGCCTCTGCCAGTTACCACAAGGAGTAGTCTTTGTTTAAACAATTTTTTTTAACTGATAACCAAGGTAGGTCACTATTTTAGTCCATATAGGTGATCTTTGTAATGTTCTCTCTCTTGAAACTCCTAACACAGCTGGATAAAACATTAAAAAGCAAGCACTGCCATTTGTAAAGGCAAGCTGTCTGTAGCTCCTTAGCACCTTATTTGCTTGTAGTCACTTGAGAAGCACATTTGCTACACTTGCATGTATTTTTATATGACGAAGATAAAAACCAGTAGTAGTAAGTGAGGATTTGGTGTAAGTAGGAAAAAACCAAAACCATGTTCTAGTTACATGGTCGTCATCTTCTAGCCTGAATTGATTGCTATTTTGGTCAGGCTTTTCTGGTAGGATTTGGTAAACTGAACAGCCAAAATCACAAATGATTTAGAGTTTCTGAAGTGTTGTATTACCAAAAGTAAACTCTTGTCATTCCAAGTCATTAGAAAATGACCCCATTGTTATAGCAGCAAACTCTGTCTCAAAATACTTTTTGAGGTTGGTAAATGCCTTAAGATTGGGGACTTGAAAAGGATGTGCTCTGTAGGCCACATTGATTTCTAGGGTTTCAGGAAAACAAGATTTTTCTTCTGGTCCTATTTCTTTTTTGTTTGCTTGGTTGGTTTGTTAGAAAGAGGGTCTTTTATCTTATATTTTCCGCCCAAGATTCAGCATGCAAAACTTCAAATGGTGATAGTGTGTTACAAAACCAAGGTTACGAATTTTGAGATTGCACTAATACTGTATTACTACTATAAGAGATGCAAATACGCTTTTATATTCAAGACTTCCTATGCTTTTTTACCAGGTAGTGTTTTTGTCAATAGTTGTTTTGAAATATTATTTTTTTCAAAGTGCCTTGACTTCTAAGCAAAACTTATGATCACAGAAAGGATTACATATTAATAAATAATTGTCTTACTACTACAAGAGATAGTAGATACAGATTATGTTCTACCCTTGAAGACATTTTAATTGTCAGTCCAAAATATTGCTCACCTGGCAAATACTTTTCCAAAGATGGATAGTGGGATTTGAGCTGAAACAATTGCTTTTTAGGAGGACCAAGTGGAGATTGTGTAATGTAATTGACGTAATTTATGTGGTTGTATATTTTTGGTTTTATGGTTTTATCTGGGGTTGCTATATATGTTCAAAGGAACTAGTACTTTGTGTAAACATACATGACCCTCTAGAACTCGATCTTCCTAATTGTATAGCTTTTGCACACCATTTGCAGGTGTTTTGAGAGAGATAGCAATGCTTATTGATTGAGAAACGGTGCCAACCTGGTATCTTTTTTTTAATGTCCTTATTTGTAAACACATAAGAATAATATTAATGTAATAGAGTAAGATGTTTGGTTTGGGGTATAATGGTAGGAGGCTGCTCTTTGAAGGCCATCAATTGGATTGGAAGATAGTGCAAAATAAAAGAAGCTGAATACAAATACAAAAGAACTAGAGGAAGGAATTGGGAAACTTTGCTATGCTGGATTTGCTGTACTCCATAGCAAAGTGAAAATCCTTTGGCTTTTTACTTATGAGGCAGCTTTAAGATTTCTCTTCTGCAAAAGGAGAATGAAGGAATAGTTCTGTTTTAATTTTAGTTGACCAATCTGTGTAGCCTGCATGTGAACAGGAGCATGCTCTGTCAAAGAGGATTAACCACTTTCCCCTTGCTTTCCTTGCATATGCAACTTTAATGGTAATCTGTGCAATAGAAGAGAAAATTAAATGCTCTCTTTCTTTTGCTTTTCCTTAATATACTTCTTACCTTGCATTGTAGTTGATAGAGCTCTATGGAGCATGGTATTTTTCTATAATATAGAAATTTCTATATGATAATTCATTAGGAATTAGCTTAAAATGGTAATTCATTAGGAAATACAATTTTAAGCACAGCTGTAATTTTATGTAGTTCTTTTTAAAAAACAGTAGGCATTATCTTTCTGCAGTTAGTGCTTCAAATGAAAGAGGCAATACGTGAGTATTCTGAGACCGAGTCTGTACTTTGTTGCAAAAAACCAAAATAGTAGCTAGAAGTTGAATTACAGGTATATCTTGGACTTTTCCTGGAATTGCTCATGTTTTAAAAATCCGGTATTTAATCTGGGGTTTTTTTTGCCCTTTCACTGGTGCTTACCGTTGGAGAAGTAATCTTACTGAGGTTTCGCCAAGTGAAGGAAAATGTTTAAATGTTAAAGTTTCTGAGTGGCAAAGTTGTTCATATTGCAAAACCAGCATGCTCTTTAATGCTAATAATACTCTGCCGATGGTTAGAATAGCTGGAATTGCAAAAAGAGAGCTATGTTAACTGGTGCATGTGGAAGTCTGCATCAAAGTAATAAAACTCCTTCCAAAATTTAAAGAAAAATACAACAGTGTGAAAGCAGCTTGCCTTTAGTTAACAGAAAATGAAGTGTTGTAAGTGTATGTGTGCTATTACCTTCTGCGTCACAGTGTATGGTTTTGTACTTCAGGTGTTGGTTAGTAACTATACAATGTTAAATGCAATTAATTTTAAAGTTCTTTGCTAGATGCTATCCTTTTCTAGTTCTTTCTGCCTTTTTTGCTATCTTAGTTTTAAACTCTTCCTCCTTATTTTGTAGACACTGCTCTCCTGTTCACTACTTCTTCTCTGTCTTTACGTCTCACCACTGGGCTTCTCTCAGTGTCTGTTTTCCCAACCTCCACCCCAAATTCCAGCTGTATATCTACAACCAATTGGTCAGGTAACTGTATCTTTCTCAAGTGATGGACTCTTTGATAGAGCATGCTCTGTTCAGATCTAGAAAGTCAAGAGGTTCTTCATTAGTGAACATTTTTAACACTTTCCTCATGGTTTTCAGATTTTTATTAATTATTAATTAATCTTTATATTAATGACATTGACAGTGGGTTCGAGTGCACCCTCAGAAAGTTTGCGGACGACACCAAGCTGTGTGGTGCAGTTGATTCACTAGAGGGAAAGGATGCCATCCAGAGGGACCTGGACAGGCTTGAGGAGTGGGCCCATGTGAATCTCATGAAGGTCAACAAGGCCAAGTGCAAGGTCCTGCACATAGGTCAGGGCAATCCCCAGTATCGTAGAGACTGAGGGTTGAAGGGATTGAGAGCAGCCCTGCAAGATGGACTTGGGGATGCTAGTGGACAAAAAATTGGGTATGAGCTGGCAATGTGCACTTGCAGCCTACAAAGCCAACAGAATCCTGGGCTGCACCCAAAGCAGAGGTCGAGGGAGGGGATTCTGCCCCTCTGCTCTGCTCTGGTGAGACCCCCCTGCAGTGCTGCGTCCAGCGCTGGAGCCCTCAGCACAGGAGAGACATGGACCTGCTGGAGTGGGTCCGGAGGAGGCCACCAAAATGATCGGAGGGCTGGAACAGCTCTGCTGTGACGACAGGCTGAGAGGGTTGGGGTTGTTCAGCCTGGAGCAGAGAAGGCTCTGGGGAGACCTTATTGCAGCCTGTCAGGACTTCAAGGGGCTTAGAAGAAAGATGGGGACAGACTTTTTAGCAGGGCCTGTAGTGATAGGACAAGGGGTAACAGTTTTAAACTAAAAGATGTCAGATTTAGACTAGATCTAAAGAAGAAATTCTTGACAATGAGGGTGGTGGAACCCGGCCCAGGTTGCCCAGAGAGGTGGCAGATGCCCCATCCCTGGGAACATCCCAGGTCAGGCTGGACGGGGCTCTGAGCAACCTGATGGAGTTGAAGATGTCCCTGCTCACTGCAGGGGGTTGGACTAGATGATCTTTAAGGTCCCTTCCAACTCAAACTATTCTATAATTCTAATCTCTTATTCTTACTGTGTTCTGAGTGGCAGACAGGTGGTTCACTTTGCTCCCGCTGTCTGGTCACTACTTCAGAATAGCTGCTGAAACTGTCTAGTTTGGGCCTAAAGTCAGTGTACCTTGGATGTAAACGTGCATGTACAGGTTAGAGCGCCAGGTTAGTGCTTCCAGGTTAATATTTGGAATGGATGGCTAACATCAAAATGCCTGATGTTAATTAGCATCAGAGAAATAGACTTTGAAATCATGCTGGTGTAGTCTGAGTGCTGCTGCTTCCTCTTTGCTCCCCCAGATTTCCAGCTTCATGGATGCCAGATGTAACTTGGCATTTTCTTCTGAAGTTGCCCCTGATTTTGAGGATAAATGTGTACCCTTGGTGTTGCAACTGGAACCCTCTATAGTAAACATTAAGGCAGTGTATATGCTACCTTGTGACTCTGACCTTTTAAACCCCAGGGTTACAAAAGGGTCTGCATCTTCAGCCATGCTGCTTTAATCCTCCTCTTCCTGTAGGTTGAATATTGGAATGCTTTTTCTCTCCCATCACTTCTTTTGATTTACCTTTCTTATTAAGTAGTCTTTGTGTGGTGATTATTTTCATTTAGTTAATTCCTCTCCTGTTTGTGGTGGTCTGGGTGAATTCATCTGACATCTGCTTTTAAGGAGTCCTCCTTTGAATCCATTTATTTCAGCCTTTCTCTTGCATTTTATGTCAACTGGACTTGCCTCCCTCAAGATCCAGTAAACTGTGAAGATCCAGACGTTCTGACGAAATCAAACAGTGGGTGAAGGAAGAAGAAACAGTTGCCTTTTGCATTAAGGTCATTGTAATAATGACCTTCATAACAAGTTCCAAATATATGATCTGCTAGACGAATTGGAACTGATGTGCATCTGAAAGTAAGAGGTGATAAATCTGATAGTGCTGGTGAAAGACACAACATAAGTATCACTATCCATGTCATGTTTGTAATGCAATTACTGCTGGTAGTCTAGTTTCTTAATGATATTAATCTGTCAGTTTTGTCTAAGAGTAGACCCATGCTTGATGTTTGTCTATAGAAAGTGATAAAGTAATACACAAAATCATGGAGTCTGTCAGCTTGGAGGTGAGAGGTGTTCCAGAAACTGTGAGGTGCTTCAAATTTTCACCTGCTCTTGTTTTGATCATAGCTAAGAAGATTGTGGGCATGTCTTACTGGCTTCTAAAACTTTTATCTTCGCATCGTAACTTGTCCGCCTTATCTGAATCTGTCTTGGAGAAGGACTTACCTGAATCTTAACCTTTCTGAGCAACCGCCAGCTCACCTTTCCAGGGAACATTATGAACACTAACTGAGCAAACAAGAAATGTCCTTTAGCAGGCAAGACCTACAGATTAGCCAGTTGGTCATTCCAGTCTCTGTAAATAAAAGGGTTTTTTGAAACATGAGAGATTAAAAAGCACAAATGAAATTATTATCTGCTTTGCAGCTTAAAAACTCTGATGCTAAGTGTATGGGATGGTTTGAAAATTACAATTATAAAGGCATTTGCAAAGGAAAATATCACAAGTCTTTGAAGACTCTGCCTTTTTAGGCATCACACCTGTACCAATGACGAACTCTCACTCTAGCTGGCGAACCATGTATTTTCTACAGATTGATTCTGTGACATCCTAAAAATTTCAGTGTAGGAGATGAATGGATTGATGTACACTGTTCTCTAGACTTGGCATGTCAGAGGAAGCGTGTGTAATTGATGTTGAACTTGCTTCCATTTACTGTCTTAAAGGTTAAATGCTATGGTCTTGGTTACTGCAATGTTTAGAAATAAGACCAGAGATACTGTTGTTCAGGAACTGGCAAAAAGAACTAGTATATGCGTACAAACCTATTCATACCTACAAAGTTCTGTAAGAATTTTCCTCTTTTTGAGGTTTCATGGATCACTTAAGATATCTTTGTCAGAAAGACAAAAAATTGCTAATTTTCATCATGAGCTTTACTTTTTATCTACTCTTAAACCAGCAGTCAGATCTGTTAGTAACTGGGCAAAACAGTCCTGCATCCTTATTTTCCTCATGCTGTCAACTGACAACATTCCAAGTGTGGCGATCCATAGAGATGATGCTTAAAGGAAGAAGGATAAAAGTTCCAGTAATTGAGGAGAACTATTAATACAGGGTCACCTTCTCTTATAATTGTGTATTTGGAAAGAACTGAGGGGCAACTGGGGTTGCAGTTTTTCTGTCATTGGGATTAGCAAAAGAGAGGTTCATTTTTCAAACAGGCACTGCTTTCTTGAGGGTTCCAGTTTAATACCGCAGGTACTCTTCACGTACTGAAATTGGGAACTTATCCCCCTTGTTTTAGTGAATAATTAGTAGCACTTTTAATGATTTTGAAGATCTTTAAAATGTAAGCAATGTGTTTACAGTATGTTGTAGACATTACTTACTGCAAAGAAAAAAAAAAACCTCTTACCTATTTGTGGCTTTTTTTTTCAGCAGCACATCAGAAGTCTAGGAGATAGTAGGTAGTGTGGATATTATCCTGGAAAACAATTTGAACAGCTAAAATTCTGGGCATTGCAGCAATAGAGCATCGGGGTATTGGGACCTTTGAGTGTGGTTGGCTGTTTTCCCATTGTCCTCTGCTCTGTCTATCAGGTTCCTAACTAAGCGAGAACAGAAGCTGATGCAGCGTCGACAACACGCTGAAGAATTGTTGGAGTGGAAACGCCGCCTGGATGCAGAGGAAGCAGAAATACGGCGAATAGAAAAGCAGGCTCTAGCTGCCTGGGACAAAGAGCTGCTGAAAACCAAAATAGCCAAGAAAGACCTGGGGGATCAGAGAACTGAGCCCAAAGGTAAGAAGACTTAGGGGGGAACTGATGCAAATGACAAGGGTTAAAACATAATTTGACACAATGGTTCCTTAGGTTTGTGCTTGCTTTCTTTTTTGAGGTTTTGGTGGTGGTTCTCTTAAAATCTCAATTTCGGCATGCTTTACTGTCTTCTGTTGCCCTGTTCTTTTAGCCCTTTTTTACACCTTAGTTGTATGTGTATTCCTCCTTTGCTATATATCTTCTCAAGTGAGCAGTGCAGCATAGGCCCATCAGATATTCCCACATACAATTTAAATTATACTTCTGTCTCGTCAAAAATACTGCATAATCTTTTGCTGATCTTCTGAACTATTATTAGTATTACTACTACTACTATTGGTGAGGCTGGCTCTTATCAGGGGCTGCTTTCCCCTTGTCTGCATTTTCAAAAAACTGAAAGCATTTTTTTTCTTCCCTCTGTTGTTAAAGCAGTATAACTCTTTGAATTCTGCAACTGTGCTAAAGTGTGCTGGGATGTAATTAGTATAAATGATGCTATTGTGAGGAAAAATAAGTTTTCCCAAATTCTGGGAGCGACAACTTTACTGTTCTGTCTTAAGTGGACCATGCTGTCAGCATGAAGCACAGAGAACTGGATTGCAGTGGGAGAAAATAATGAAACTTTAGGGATTGTTCTAGAAATAATCAATTTTCCTTTTTTTTTCCTCACTGTGCTGAAAGCAGCAGGCAGCATGTTCTTTGAATGTGCAAAGGGAACTCAGAATTATGTCCTATTACGCTTGTTACTGAAAAGAGTCATGTGGATTTTAGGCATTATAAGACATTTTAAAGATAATATGTGTATGAGTCAGTAAGTTCCAGTGAGCAAAAATTCAGAATGAATGCTGAATTCTCATCAATAGATGAGAAAATACACTTGCTTTCTATTAATTGTATCTACCAGTAAGCATTGGAGCACGGCCCTGCTTCAGAAGTTGTTCCTCTCCCCAGCCTTTGCTCAAATATTGAATAGTTCTCCATGGCTGCTTCAGTAATGCTGTGACTCCTGCGGAATTCAGTAAACAGGAATATTGAAAACCCAACTTATTATTTTACTTGTTGGCAGTTGAGAGACTCATGATGAAATCATACATTAAAATGTTTTCTGCAGCTACTGTAAAGGAAGCAATCAATTCTAAATTCAAGATCTGGCTTGCAGATTATATGCTCCTCCATGACTTCTTCAGACTAATAGTGACTCTTGCTGGGGCATGGTCAACTGGAAGGACAGGTTTCCCTAATAATCTTTTTGGAGTGTGGTGTTTGGAAAAATGTTAAAATGTCCTGAAAATCTCTTTATTTTAGACATTCAGGGATCACTAAGAACGTTTAGCAATCCTAAATCATAGTTCTCTAGTAAACACACTTGTTCTTGCTAAATATTCCACCCTCTGTGTCTAGGTGAGTGAAATAACACTTATCAATTTGACATGTATTGGTAGCAGTTAGTACTTTATATGCAGGCAGCAGTATCTCTGAAGGCACATAAATTAGTGCAAGTTCTTACGCGCTTTGTTTTTTTCCTCTCATTATTGAATCTCAGAAACGGCTAGTGAAGAAGAGTCTCCAGTGCCTTCTTGCTCTCATCTGAACAGTGAAAGTTCTATCCCAGAAGATCTTGGCAGTGTAGCTGCCGAGTCTGTCCCATCAGAAACTATGGGCCATGGACAGCCAGAAAGCCCAGATCAGAGTACAACTAATGAAGAAATGGTTTATTCTGAAGAGTTCAAGTCCTCTACCTCACCTGGCAAACTGGTGAGTGAGCTTTTTATGCTATATGTATTCTTACACTTGTAAAAAAGGCTATCAGAGAAGTTGTAAATGTAGACATCCGAGTTGTCAAAGCAGAGAGTAAGCTATTTTCTGTGTTTGCAATACCATTTTACATTACTGTGAATAAACGTTGTGATCAGATACGTTCTTTGAAGTCTTGAGGAAAAATTGCTTCATCACAGAGTTCAGATATTTTTAAACTTCTGTGTAGTCTTGCAAAATGTTTTGCATATGTCACGTAGGTATGCAGTATTAAGTGGTGGAACACTGACCCAGTTTACTAGTGTGAATTAGCTGTAGGCTAGCTTGTTACCATTGTATAAATTCTTGGAGGCCAAGGGAGCTATGCTCTGTTTTTCTGCTTTGCTTTATTTGCAAGTAATGTCTCCCAAACTATAGCTATAGGATGAAGAAGCAGAGCTGTAAACTCATGCACAATCCTTTGGGTTTCAGATTATGTCTGCTTGCTAGCTTATTCTGCTTTATTGTTCTGGTCCAACTGTTATTTCTACTTGGTTGATGATTTTGATAAGTTTCATCCTGGTAACTTTGCCCTTTGCTCAATGAAACAGAAAATGTTGCATTGCTCAATGAAACAGTGTCTGGGGAGCAAAAGAGCTGCTCCTCTAGACGTATTACAAATACTTTCTTGGAAAGCTGACTGAGAAGGTAGTGAGGTAGAACGTCTGATAGGTACCACAGGTCATGTTCAAGGTGTGTGAAGGGTTTCTGGTATAATGTTGATTCTGTGACAATAATAATCACAAACAGTAATAATGTAAGCAGCATTTTGGAAAAATACTTGCTCTTAGAATTTTTTTGCCTTGCCTCAGAGAAATAGGGCTGTGTTTTACTGATATAGAATGTCATTTTGCACCCTTTACATGAAATGGTCATTTTAATTTCACAGATATGTTTACTAGGAGTTCCTATTGCTGTAGTTGTTACCAAGTGAGATTACATAAACTGTATTGAACACCTGTGCATCAGAACCATGTCAGTTCACTTAAGTGGTAATAGAGTATTCTAAGTAGATTTACTGAAATCTAGGCTCAAAGTAAGCAGTCAGCTATTGCTGCTCTTGGTGTTTTTGTTTTATTGCCTAGCAAACTAAGATTAAATTCTTCTTAACATAGCTGGGTAGGTACCACTGCTTATGAGATGTTCTCTAGTCATGCTGTTCTTTCCTTGTAACTGGCTTCTGATGACAATGATCTCCTACTTTCAAACTGAGCTTTACAAGCAATTACTTACTTGTCCTTTTCTTCTCCCATAGTCTTCCCCCAAAAGCAGCATATCTGTATCAAAGCAAGATTCCAGCAAAGGCAGCCATAGAACTGGAGGACAGCTACGTTCACCTGTGAAGTCTCATCAGGTCTCTCACAACTGGTCTGATGAATCTTTATCTATGACACAGTCAGGTAAGTGTAATATCTGCTTGGGATTAAATTGCTTTTTCAGAGCTTTTCTTTTTAACAAGTAAACTTGAGATGCAGACATAGCTGTGGGGAGGCAGGCAGAAATTCCTGGAGATTTCCGAGGTTTGGGGCTCTGTGGGCATGTTTTCCTGGGATGTAATTTGATCACTTCAGCTTAAGAAGATCTTAGAGTAAGAAGATCTATATATTATCTCTTTTAGAAGGCTATGCAGATTCCTGCAAACATGTGAAGAAGATAAAGGTCAATAGTTAAGGTGGTCCTAGAATTTAAAAATGCCAAGGTTAGCTGTGCTTTTAACAGGTGACACTTCTCCAGCCCTCATATTTTAAGAAAGCAGAACGTGGTT